CTGTCATAGGAAGTTATAGTTTATGTTAAGCTCTGGTGAAGCTAGTTACTGTTTATTCTTTTTAATTTATTCCCCCTACCTATTCTCACATATTTTTCCATAAGAATTTCTGAATCAGCTTTCTCTAGTTTCAAAAACAACCTGCTTGGCCTTTACCCCTCTGGCTTTCTCTCCTACTACTGTTTCCTTCTCCCTCCAGGATTTCTGACCTCAGCACTATTGGCATTGGGACCTAATAATTCCTTTTTTTGTCGGGAGCAGTTCTGTGCACTGGGGGGTATTCAGCAGCAGCTTGGCTTCTATTCACCAGATGCCAATAGCAACCCTGCACCCCCCATGCCCCCCTCCCCGGTTGTGACAATGCAAAATGTGGGCAGGCAGTGCCAAACGTCTGAGGGACTCGCTCTGATTAGCTGCACGGCTCTCCTCAGCGTTCCTAGAGCGGGCAGAGAACACTCCTGCCTCCTCTAAATCTCTGCTCCAATGTTCCTTCTCAGCCTATTCAGACCACAGTTCCCCTGCCTGCCCCACACTCTCTATACTGTTCCTGATGTTCCTTTATTGCGCTTTTCATCTTCTAAAATAATATAACTTACTCTTTTAGGCCTTTATTTTGTCTGTCTCTCCCCTTCCTTTAAGAGTGTAAGTCCCACAAAGGCCAAGATTTTTATCTATTTTGTCCTCTCCTGTGCTGGGAACACACCTGGTACATAAGGTGCTCCATAAATATTAAGTGAATGAATGAATTGGAAGAATAGACTTGTAGGTTGGCTTAGGGGAGAGATGACATCTTGACTCGTCCTACACAGTAAAATGGTGTTTTCCAGATATTAAAGCTTACTTTTACGTATGTCTTCCTGTACAATTTTAAAGTTTCTTACAAATAAGAAATTCCAAATGATATTTATAGTAAACTTCTGCCCAGACTGGTTTTTAGTGTTCTTACTAGTGGACTTGGGAAGCGCAACTGCCTGACTTACGTGGAATGGCTGTCAGCAGGGTGCCAGGCCCCAGTGGTCTCTCTTGGGAGGGTGACCCTGGGGCCTGCAGTGATGTCTGCAGGCCCCTTGTTCCCCACCACCCAGTCCAGAGCTCTTCCTCAGTCTCCTGGGAGGGCCTCTGCCGTGGCTGACGGAGCCTCCCAAGCATCCATCCCCCTCGTGCTCCCCAAGGGGCTCACCTGTCCTGGCTGGTTCCCTAATCTGCTAGGAGGGGCTGTGGTAGGCACGGGCTGTTCAGTGGAGTAGGGTGTTGGAGGAGAGATGTCCCTTGGCAGCCTCTGAGAGGACCAAGAATGAGGGCCTTCCTTCCCTGCCTCTATTTCCCCAGATCCTGGCAGATGGGCCCCTGCTCCCCACCTCGCACTACACTCTCGCCCAGGCCTGTGCTGGGAGTGATGGGGAGACGCAAGGCAGAGGCCAGCTCTGGACCCTCCTCCTGGGAAATGGGCACAACCCTTCGAAGTTCTGAGGACTCTGGGCCGGGCACACACTGGGCACTTTTTGGAGAGGGCTGTCCTTATTTCGTCAGCCATGGATGCCAGTCTCCAGGGTGTCCCTTCCGGCAGTCCCTATGAGGATGCTGGCAGGACCACGCTAGCTGCAGTCCACCCCCAGCCCCCTGACTGTGCCTGAGGCAGCCTCACAAGGGCCTGAAACCGTGACCCAGAGCCACCCGCGCCAGGAGGAAGACCCGCGGAAGCACCCAGCTCCCTCCTCCTGTGTAAGTCAACATAAAACAAGATATGCTGGGGAGGCAAGACCTTAGGTGCTGACTGTTGGTGTACAAAGCGCTGTGTCATGTCTGCCTGGGACCATGGGGGCCCCGGTGGCCCTGCTCAGAGCCCAGTCAGGACACGCAGCAGGCAGGTCTGGGCTCTTGGGAGGCTTGGCTGGGGCCCTGCGGCTCCCAGGGCGGCAGGCGGCAGGCCCCATGGGGCCATGGCAGTGTCCTGCGGTTCGCCACTTCACATTTATAGCTGCAGGCTTCTCAGTTTACTGGCCCTGGCGGAGGCCTGGCTCTCTGCGCCGCAGCTGTGGTGAGCTGGGTGCCTGCCTGAGCGCTGAGCTGAGGGAGGCTCCGAAGTTTCCCAGGAACCCCCGCCAGGGCTGGCCCTGCTCTCTGCCCAGAACCTGGTTTCCGGCTGGAGGAGCTGCTGGATGTGGAGGGTCCCTGGCACCCCTGCCGCCCGGGCCTCCATGAGCAGCGGGAACCTTGCCAGAGGGCGGGTGCCGCAGGGTCTCTGGGGCAGGGAGCTGATGGAGCGGGTGAGGGTGAGGGTGAGATAGGAGAGGGGCTGACAGCCAAGGCTGGTACCTGGGGGTTGTTACCCGATAAGCACAGGGGACACATCCAGCTGTTGTTTGCAATGTGGGGTTTCCCATGCAGCCCCTGCCAGAGCGGCCTCCCCAGCCTCGTGGTGCTCCTCTCAGCGGATGGATGTGTCTCTGTTCAGCCAGAGGGTCCGAGGCTGGGAGAGGTTAGGGAGGGAGGCGAGTTGTCTGAACGCTGGCAGCCTCGGTGGAGCCTGGAGCAGGACCATGAGCCTGACTCCAAAGCCTGTGCCAAGGGGACCCCAACTTTTGTCGAACTGGAGACTGGGGTCCTGCTGGTTTGCCAGAGCCCTGGGAGGAGCGGGGCCTGGCTCCTGGGCACCCAGCAGCAATCTGCCTACTTGGACTCAGTTTTGGGGTGTGGGGGGCCCAGTGCAGATGGAGTCCTGCCCTGCCCTCCCCACCTGGGCCCAGGGCCCTGGCTCTGCCTGCTCTTTGGGAACTCTGGGAGTAGGAGGGCAGGTCTGAGAGGGAGGGAGTCTGGGATCAGGCATGAGACAGGCCTCTGGGCGTCTGGAAGCTCACACCCTGCAATCGAGGGAAACCCCAGAGAGCAAACAGGGGAGGGGTGGGGGCAGGTAGGGCCATGATTACTGGGTGGGGTGTGGAGGCACCCATGGGAGAGAGGCTGGGCCCACCTTGGGGAGGTGAGGCAGGAGGGCAGATACCTAAAAACGGAGCTGATGTTCATATAAATAGAATACCTGTTGGGTGTGTTTCCTTTTAAAGCTGGGATTTATTTCAGGTTCCCTTCCTCAGCAAACACCCAGCGGGCCAGTCCGTGGTGGTTTCAGCCTGGCGACACGGGCGGCTGACCAGTCAGGTCAGGTGCCCTTCCTCTGGTGTCAGATGCAAAGGGCAGTTCTGTACTTACTGACTGCCCGTGGGGGCCTGGTCTGTGCTGAATGGGTCACGGGAAGAAGCAGGTCCTGTCCCTGCCCCCGAGGGTGAGGCAGGCCTCCTCCAGATTGTGCAGGGGGGACAGGTTAACTCGGCCTTGCCAACCAGGAAAGGCTCCAGGGCCTTGTCTACGCAGAGCTTTGAAGGATGAATATGAGTTTTTCAGAGTCTCCTTTTTTTCTTATAACAAACAGTAAGCCCCTACTATGTGCTGGGTGTCAAACTCCTAACAGAGAGACAGGACACGGGCCCTGCCCTGAGAAGTCCAGCAGGACAGTCATGTGAGTGGTGACAACAATGTCTTAAATGTTAAAATAGAAGTGAGTGTAAGATGCATCAGGGACTGAGGAGGGACCCATCCATTCTTTGTGGGGACATAAGAATAAGGGTCTGCACAGGACACTGGCTGGCTTGTCCTGGGCGTGGCTGAGGCCAGGGGAGCTGTGTGCAGCAGGAGAATTGTGCTAAGAAATAGGTACTTGGGCCTGATCGGACTGGCTCAGTGGTTGAGCAACGACCCATGAACCAAGAGGTCACAGTTTGATTACCAAGAAGTCATGTTTTGATTCCTGGTCAGGGCACATGCCTGGGTTGCAGGCTTGATCCTCAGTGTAGGAACATGCAGGAGGCAGCCAATCAATGATTCTCTCTCATCATTGATGTTTCTCTCCCTCTCCTTCTCACTTCCTCTCTGAAATCAATAAAAAATATATTTTAAAAAAAGAAATAGGTACTTGGATTGGGTTTTCTTAGGTCCAACTGCTTAGTGAGTTGCCCCAGCAGCCAAGAGTGTGGGACTCGTGTTTTCAGTCCAGTTGTCCGTGGATGAGCCGTGTGCTTTGAACAATGGGATTCCAGCTCCTACTCCTTCACGTACAAGCTGGGTGGCCTTGAGCCCCCTGCTTCACCTCTCTGAGCTCCATGTGCTCATGGTAACAGTGGTCACACCAACTCGGCAGGAGTGATGTGAGTAAATGAGATGTGTGCACAAGGTCTCCTGCAGTTTGCTGATAAAGTGATGCTGTTCTCTCTCCTCCAAAGGAAGCAGGACTGGTTGTGGGAGAACCTGTGGAGGAAGGGATGGTGGTCTATACACCCAAGCCCACTCTTGCTGTCTGGGGTGTCTTTATGGGGAGGAGAGGTGGCGTTCTCTGGTGGGTCCCTGGACAGGGAGGGGTGCACCCCAATGGGAGGGTTGCCTGCCTTGACCCAGGCCTGGTTGTCACAGGGGCTGTCTGCGTAAGCCTGGCTCCTCTGTCTTTTTCTCTTCTGAATTTGGGCAATGACAGCCTGTCTGTGACAAGTGTACCCCAACAGCCAGGACTTGGCTCATCTGACCCCGGACCCCAGTTAGTTGGGGAGGAGGCTGAAGCTCTGAGATGGGACTGACCTGGGAGGCTGGCCTGTTCCAGGGTATGGAGCTTCCTCCGATCTCCAGACTCCCACTCCGCAGGGCGAAGCTGCAGCACCCCAATTGTTCACAGCACCGGTGGTCTCCTTGAACGCCGGTGCTGACTTGGCCTTGATGCAGGCTGCCCAGGAGGACCGCCAACAAGATGGGCCTTGCGAAAGGCCCGTTACCTGCCAGTGCTCGGCATCCAAAATAGAATCTCGCGCGGCAAAGCCTTTAATTCCACGTGTCCCAACAGCAGGTCAGTGTAGGGATAACTATGATCTAACTGGTCTCGAGCTATAATTACGGAGTCAGGATAAAAAATTACAGGCATTGTGTGGGCTTGTTTTAAATATAACGTAATCCATACCGTCCTCTCTCTTATTTGCTAGACTTGAGGTGGAGTCTTTGGTGGTTGGCACAGGTTTTGCCTGACGTGTAGCAGATAAACATGGCCCTTGCCAAGTGGAAAGGACACAGCGGGAGGCCTCCCTGGACCCCTGACGCTCCTGACTGCCCACAGCCCACAGCCCACACGCGTCTGGGCAGTCTCTTTGTTGTTCACATCATCTGCATGTCATATCTCTCCAACTGGCCGCCCTCTCTCCAGCCTCCCCCAGCCAGTCCACCAAAAACATCTTTGTAAAACACAGCCTTGATGCTTCATGGCGCCCCTCTGCCTACAGGGTAAATCCAAACCCAAGTCCCTTCATCTCTTGGCCCCAAACCACCTTCCAGCACCTATTTGGGGACAGCAGCTCTGAGTACGTGGGACCTGGGGTGGCCCACATGGGTCACACTCAGGCCTCTCGGCTGATGAGCTGAGGGTGGGTCTGGGCAGGTGACCTTGTCCATGTGCTTCAGCTCCTCCACTACGACTACAGGCTGTCGTGAGGGTGCAATGAGGTCACACACTCCTATGGTGACCCTAGGCATGTCCCCTTCCCTCACCAAGTCTCCGTTCACCTGGTAAAAGGAATCAATAGTCTAATTGCCTTTCTAATCGGTAAATGTTTTTAAAGTGGTGTTTTTTGGTGTAGTTGGTTGTGTTGTAAGGCGCGCAAGCATTAGTTCAGCCTCTGGGAAATACACACGCAAAACATGCTTATATCCTAGGAGTAGGAATCGAACCTATCGGAAAAGTCAAACTGTGGACAAAGATGTATGTTTAAAAGATGTTTACTTCAATGTGTGTTTATGCTCTCAAAGAACTGAAAATATAAAATGCCCAATATTTAGGTAACAGTAAGTATTCATGGTGTATCCACTCAAAACACACTTATGCACTCATTAGAAGTGTTTATAAAGAACATTTTTATGTTGAAAATGCTTATATTTAAAGTGAATAAGACAGATACAAATTGTATGTGTTTTTATGATAATAAAAACATACACGACCACAGGAAAAAAGTTGAGGTGGAAATATAGCAGCAGTTATCTTTGGTGACCTTACAGGGTTATATATTTTCGTTTTGTTTTCTGTATTTCCAAATATTTTAGAATAGGCATGCACTACTTTATAATCATTTTTAAAAGAGATGAGTGTTAAAAATGGTCTAAATAAAATGAGAAGCTAGAACTCGATGTCTGAGTTTCTAGCTTTTAACAGCCTCCAATTGCAAGGTCCGTGGTATCTGAGAGGTGACAGCGGAGACCGCCCGCCTCAGTGACGAGCAGCAGGTCCAGTGCCCAGAGTCGGCAACTCGCCAGCCACAGGCTCCCACGTGCATCTGCGCCGACTTCCCGCGGGGTCAGCTGCCTTTCTGAAGTCTTCCTGAAATCTCCCCAGGTGCCTAGGAACCTTCAACGCCACTGGAAGTGGGCAGTGCGCCAGCCCGCTCTGTCTCTGCCGCACCATGGAGTGCTGGTGGCCACGGATCCATGCATCCACTGGAACAAGTGGGTTTCGCCTGAGAAGGAAGCTCTTTCTGCCACCTCGGGCCAGGGGCTCGGAGCAGGAAGAGAGCCTGAGCTGCGGTCACCGCTGTGGGCCCCGCTGCTATCCACATCTGGACTTTGGGGACCCACATCCCCACTGCCAGGACAAGCAGGTCCATTTGTTCTGAAGGTGGAGAGCTGGGAACACTTCACTGGAGGGGGTCACTGAGGGACAGCCTGGTCACTCCCACCATTTCTCGGGAGATCAGCCCAGCTGAGGCCACCTGGAAAGACAAAAGGGGTTCTTGAAGAGCCCCCAGAGGAAGAAAGGGGCCCCATATGAGTTCGGTGGGGGAGAGAGGCCCTCTAGGCCAGGGGTGTAGCCAGCAGCTTGTCAGGGCCTGTCCAGGACCGCCACGAACCAGCCACGTGCCTGCCCAGTTAGAAACCAGAGGAAGTCCCCGAATCAGAAGCTGAAAGACCATGGCAGACAGACAGGCTTAGAGAGAGAGAGCAAGACGGCACACAGCAAGGGCAGAGGTGGGGAGAGGGACAGGCTGAGGCCCAGTGTGGGCAGGGAGGCCATCCCAGGAGTGAACTCCCAGGAGGAGACCAGCGCCCAGAACACTCATCCTGGCTGCAATCAGGGAATCACAATTAGAGGAGCCGGTGTGCCACTTTACGCCTACTAAATTAGCACCCATTAACCAAATGATACCATCTCAGCTGCCAGGCTGTGGGAAAACCAGCTTAGACACACCGCCCGGGGCCCTGTAAATTAGCTTGGCCTTTCAGGGAAGAAATTGGGCAATACGGCTCCAGGGCTATTAAAACGCTCATCTCTCATTCTGTGGTAATTCCACTTCTTGGAATGTGTTGCGAGGAAATAATTCAACAGAAAAATGACAGGCTTGTACATCAGAGATGATGAGCGCAGTGTTATCCGTTATGGTCAATGGGCACCGGGAATGTTGTTTAAAATAGGGAATCTGAAGGCTAAATAATAGCATTTAAGGATCCTTATGATATGTGCAAAAAGCAGAAAATAACACTATCCATATGAAATTAACAATGACACAAAACAGCCGCCTGGATGCCCGGCAGCCCCGCCCTTGCTGGTGACCGGTGGTCCTTGACGCCCGCTGGCCACACAGACACTCTGTCTTCCCTAGGGGCCTCCCTGCCGCTCCCCGTCTGGAGCTCTCTAACCAAGAGGCCTAACCCACAGACCTCAGACTGGTGGGGAGACAGTCCTGGCCAAGCCTGCCCACCTAGGCAGCTGACGCTGGGGTCCTGGGGCGTCTGGGTGATGTCCGCTGGGTCACTCCAATGTCACACCTCGCGGAGCCAAACCAGAACAGACACGGTGGAGTCGGGTCCTCATTTAAGAAAAGGGATGAAGTGATGTTTCAGCTTTGAAATGTCTTGCTATTTGGGAGCACAGCACTCTGTGTAAGCCAGCTGAAGTCTGGGCTCCCAGCTGGGGCATTCTGGGGTGAAGGCACTTTAGAACAGACTGCAGGCAAAGGAAGGAGTCGTGGGGCTCCCCTCCTGGCCTGCTCCCCAGGAGGCACAGCTGGGATTCTGAACTTGAACCACCAGTTCTCCCTCTTCCCCTCATTTCTAGTGGCCGTCCCCACAGTGGCAGTGACTAAGAACTCACTAACTCGAGGGTGAATGACAAGAAAGGGAAGAGACCATGTAGGGCAGTGGTTCTTAACCTTCTGACCCTTTAAATACAGTTCCTCATGTTGTGACCCAACCATAAAATTATTTTCGTTGCTACTTCATAACTGTAATGTTGCTACTGTTATGAATCGTAATGTAAATATCTGATATGCAGGATGGTCTTAGGCGACCGTGTGCAAGGGTCGTTCGACAGCCAAAGGGGTCACGACCCACAGGTTGAGCACCCATGACGTAGGGCATGAATGAGCATGTGTCACCAAACAATTCTTATTCAAAGCCTGTCTGGCTCTCCAAACATGCCCTTAATGGCGCTCCAGAGAAACCACGTCCCTGCCTCACAGGGGCTGAGGACATTCAGTGGCATGCCTGTGTCCAGACAAGCCTAACCTTGTTCATTCAGTCCATGCACAGGACTGAACACAGAGGCTTCATCATGGTCTGCCCTTGACGTGCTTTCAATCTCAGGGAGAGGCAGGAGTAAACAAGGCAGAATAATTCAAGGAGCGATCACGTGGGTGCTGTGAAGAGGTTGCGGCGTTGGGGAATGAGAACACCCAGGAAGTGGGCTCAGGATGGGGTGGAGGGCCCAGCAAGGCTCCCTGGGGAGGTAGAAATGGAGCAGGGCCTGGAGAACAGGATTTTACCAGGAAGAAGGAACATCAGGGGCCAGGGGCAAGTGCAGGAGTCTGCCTCAGCCTCCCCAGCTTCTCACCTGGGGGCCTGCCAAGGACCCACACTGCCCAGGCCTCTGAGGAGAGTGCAGTGGTGGTCTCAGCCTGATTCAAAGGCTGAGGGTCCTGAAACTGACCGTGACCGTTCATTCATTCCTTAGTTTGCTCGTATCACAAACACTTACTGCACACCTGCTCTGTGCTAGGCACTCCTGCAGGTTCTGGGGATACAGTGACGAGTCAAGGTCTGTGCCCTTCCAATGGAGAAAATAGACAACAGACGAGTGACAAAATAAATTCACACTGGAAAAATATATAAGAAGGGTTAGTGGATAAGTGCGATGAAGGTGGGGGAGGAGGTATTTTCAGTAAAATCAATATCTGATTTAACACCTAAATGATGTGAAGAGGCAAACATCATTAAAAGAATCTGGGGGAGAGCATTCTAGGCAGTAAACATGGAAAGTGCAAACACAGGGATAAACTTGGCCTATTTAATGATTAGCATGAAGGCCAGCAAGGTGGAGAAGGCATCAGGGGCTGGTGGGGTGGAGGGACAGGAGACGCAGTGCAGGCGCATGGGAACCACCAGAGAACATTTCAAGGAGAGGATGGCTCCCAGTTTCAAATGCTACAGAAGGGTTGGCGAGGACGGGGCTGAGAAGAGGCCACTGGAGTTAAGACTGGGCACCGTAGGAATAGACCTTGGAAAGGACAGCTTTGGTGCAGCGAGGCTGCAAGGGTAGACAAGACATCAGGTGGGGAAGCTTAAGCAGCAAGGGCAGACAGCTCTTGGAGGAAGTCTGGGAGAGAATAAAATAAGATGAAGCATGGCTTAGGGGTAGGGTGGGTCGGATGGGGAAGAGGGAGTCCAGGCTGGGAACAGGGGGGATGTAGCAGGAGAGGGAGAGGTGCCCCACGGACTTCCCACTTCTTTCTTCTCCTTTCCCCGCTCAGACCTCAGGCTTCTTGCTCCCTCCTGCCCAACAGGCATCTCTTCCCCAGTGGTGGCCTGGCCTCCACCTGTCCTTGCTCAGGGAGACAGCACACTACTGCACGGCGGGCAGGCAGCCTAGTCCATCCTGGGGCTGGCTCCACGGTTAGAAAAGCTTCAATGGGGCTGGGCTTTCTGTGTTTGGCTATAGATCTCATAATACGTTTAAGAAAATCTTCCTTCTGCTGAGCCCAAATGCACCTCCTTGTAGCTTTTTACCCTTTGATTCTTGTCCTGCTCTTGAGGCTTCCTTCAGACAGCGGAGGGCAGCGGGCCCACCTTGTTTTCCTGTCTCGGGCTTTACCATCCCTGCTCTTCTGGGGTCTCCAGGATTTCTCCTGAACACCCTGCAGCCTCACTAGCCTTTAACATAGATACATTACTAGGGGAACAGCTACCTATTCCTCTCCTACCAGCAGACGAGTGGTTAAGAGCCAGCCTGGGTTTGAATCCTGGCTCTGCTCCTCCCTAACAGGTAACCCTGGATAAGACACTTAAGTTCTCTCTGCCCCAAGGTCACGCGGATGCGTGGGTTAGAATGTAGTGCTTCCAATGGTGTCCAGGGGAAGGTCAGTGCTCAGTGCATGTTTACTGCTCGCAGGTGTCAAAGCTCCTTTAGGAAGTGAATATAAAGCACAGGAGTCCCCCTAAATCAGCGGATCTCAGCCTGTGGGTCGCGACCCCTTTGGGGGTCCAACGACCCTTTCACAGGGGTTGCCTAAGACCATCCTGCATATCAGTTCATACCGATTCATACCAGTAGCAACATTACAGTTATAAAGTAGCAACGAAAATAATTTTATGGTTGGGGGTCACAACATGAGGGACTGTATTAAAGGGTCGCGGCATTAGGAAGGTTGAGAACCACTGCGCCTAAACCGACGTGGGCATGCCACGTGGCGATGCTTCGATTTCCCCAGAGGAACCAGCATGGCCAGGGCCCGCTCCTGAATCAGAGGAAGCTGGTCTGAGAAAAACAAGGCCCGGGAAGCACCCCCAGGGTGTTTGAAAGTCAGAGACCAGAACCTAGTCCCGGACGGAGAATGCAAAGTGGCCGCAGCAAAGCCATCTGGAGAGTCCCCTCAGAAGCTGTCATTCCTGTGGGCAAGTGAGCGGGATCTTCTGTCAACAACTGTCCCCTCGGGCCTCTGTCCTGCTTGGCACTCAGCCTAGGTTTCTGGTCGTCCAAGAATCAGCCTTCGCTGCTGTGCAAGGGTGGTCTGACCTCTGCTGTCCACTGAGTGTCATGGCACCAACGTGAAGATGGCCATGACTCGGGGCACTGTAGTGGGAGGAGACCTCAGACATGCACTTTCTCCAACTGTTTTGACCAGGGGTGGGCAAACTTTTTGACTCGAGGGCCACAATGGGTTCTTAAACTGGACCGGAGGGCCGGAACAAAAGCATGGATGGAGTGTTTGTGTGAACTAATATAAATTCAAAGTACGTAGTTTGCCCACGGCTGGTTTTGACAGTGTCTCCCAGTATGAATATATTTCACATGGTAACTATTCATTAAGTTCTCACAAAGCCATTCTTATCTTTAATGTGTGTGAGCACTCTGATAGACTCTACATTTTTCTATTTTATTTCAATAATAAGAAAAATGCTGATTGCAATCCACAGAATTGGTGTCACAGCCCCAGATTTTCTCCTGAAGTTCACGAGACATTACTGAGTTGGTTCCCTAATTCCCCAACTCCAGTCAGTGTGCACCATGTCCCTGTCACACCTTCGGCCACACTGAAGGCTAACTGCTCATGTTTTCTTTAAACCAGTGCACCGAAACATTGTTAAACACCCACTAGAGCAGCGGTCTCAACCTGTGGGTCGCGACCCCTTTGGCGGTCGAACGACCCTTTCACAGGGGTCGCCTAAGACCATCCTGCATATCAGATATTTACATTATGATTCATAACAGTAGCAACATGACAGTTATGAAGTAGCAACGAAAATAATTTTATGGTTGGGTCACAACATGAGGAACTGTATTTAAAGGGCCAGAAGGTTGAGAACCACTGCACTAGAGCTTAAGTAAAATAGTGGTGAAATTACACATTGGAGGGCTAGCTGCATTTCCCCCCCAGTACACACTGAATAAATATTCAGTGACTGACAAGGTGCTCTCACTCTGGGCCTCAGCTTTCTCATTAAGTAAAACAAAGATATTAGAATAGATGGATGGTTTTCAAAGGTTTTATTTTAGCATCCGGGTCCTTTTGCAAATGAATTCTCATTATCATGCAAAAAGCAGGCCTGCTCCACAAAGGACAAAGCTCTGATCAGCCCTCTGAAACCAACAGATATGAAGGTGAGTAAAGACATCCAGGACAATGTCCTCTAGGGATCTGCAATGACAGAGGTTTTCTGCAGACAAGGGCAGGTTTTCATACCCTCCAGGCCTTGATCATATCTCAGCTCTAAGGAATTCAAACCTCTTCACAGTGGTGCACAGGAAAGAATAAATCTCACGGCAAGTCAGAGTACATTGGTACTGAAACGTGTTCACGAAACACCTTTATATTGTAGAAGGAGATACTGCCCTACACTTGGGCTGGGTCAGGGATGTTTTGGGGATGTAATCCACAAACCTCTTCTTGGGAATCAAATATATTTCTGACAAAATGCTTAAGCCATTTTCTGGTGAATTTTCATGGTAATAAGACCTCTGAGAAATCAGTTACCTATGTGCTCAGCTTGGGGAGGGACCCAACGGCCTTTATCTGTCTTTCAATAAATCTAATAATTCTTAACCAGAACTTTTTTCTTATCTAACCATTCTCTTTTCCTATACAATGTCCTTCCCAATAGGTACTTGTTGAATTGACCAGGTAGAAGCCTCTTCCTTCGCCATGAGATTGAAATAAGGTCAGGAGGGTGGAAAGCCCCAGGTGCTTAGCAACAGACAATCAATTGTAGGGTGGGACCTCGCCCCCAGGGTGACCTTTCCTCCCTAGAGATAACATCTAGGCCTCAGTTGTCCTTAGCTCCAGGCCCAGAAAAGCAACACAACCAGCCACTGCTGACCTCAGGACCAGCTGCGTGGCATAATGACGCCCTGGTGCCGGCCCATCAATCAATAGAGACCACAACCCTGAATGGACATACCTGGAAAGCTACTGGGTATTCTATTGAGATCTTCCCCTGGGACCTCCCCTAAAATCTCCACCCTTAAACCCTTAGGACAGAGGACCCAGTGGGCTCTGCCTCGCAGGGGCACGCCCACACCTTCCCCTTCCCTTCCCCTCCACACCCAGGCTCGGCACCACTAGCTCCCTCACTCCCAAGCGCCTTCCTTCACCTCTAGCACTTGTTTCCTAAGCCCATTTCTTCCAGGAATTACTTTTTCTACCTCTGTAATTTACCCAATAAATGTTCTCTTACCGAGAAAAAAAAGAAAGAAAAAAGGACTTTGACACGGAGTTATAAATTGTCTTAAGCTTTCCCCCTCCCTCCATTCATTCCGTTAAGCGCCCAGCCTGTTTTGTCTTCAAGACGGAAAGTATAGTGTCAGTCACTGGTAACTGACTGGGTGCTTAATGTGTTAACGGTGTGATTTACTCTGATATTTTCTGCTCTGTTCTATTTTATTTTTAAAAATGCTAATTGTGACCCACTAAATTGAGTTCACCAGTATTTAATGGTTTGATTCTTGGTCAGGGCACATACCTAGGTTGCAAGTTCAATCCCCAGTTGGGGTACATGTGGGAGGCAACCGAGTGATCTCTTTCTCTCTCTTTCCCTTCCCCTCTCTCTAAGATCAATGATGCATATTCAAAGGTGAGGATTTAAAAAAAAGTCTTTGAAGCAGAAGGAAAATGCTACCAGATGAAAATCTGGATCTACACAAAATTAAGAGTACCAAAATTGCTAACTATGTGAATAAAGAGCTTTAAAAAATTATTTAAATTTCTTTAAAAGCTAATCAACTGTTTAAAGCAAATATGCTAACAGTGTACTGTGAGGTTTATAACATGTATGACAACAATAGAAAAAAGGTCAGGAAAAATGGAAGTATACTTTTGTAAGGTTCTTGTATTATACTAGAGGCCCAGTGCATGAAATCATGCATGGGGGGTGGGGGGGGGAGGCCCCTCAGCCTGGCCTGTGCCCTCTCACAGTCTGGGACCCCTGAAGAGGGAGGCCCGAGGCCCTGCCCACCTGCCACAGCCCACCGGTTGGTGGCCTGGGCCTCCCTCTGCAGGGCAATCATGGGGCAATGGCCATGTTCCGACCAATCGCATCACACCCACCTTGGCTGGCCTGGCGCCGGTGGGTGTCATAGCATGGTAGTCCGACGGTTGTTCCACTGTTCGGCCATTTGGTTGCTTTGCATATTACACTTTTATTATTATAGATGTCAAGTAACATAACATCATGTGAAGGTAGAAGATGATGTTAAAAATGTATACTATAAACCCTACTGAAACTACTAAGATAAAACAAAAAGCGTAAATAAGCCAACAAAGGAGATGAAATAATTACAAAATATTAAATTAACACAAAAGGAAGAAAAGGAAACAAAGACTAGAGTGGACAAATAGAAAACAAACAGCTAAATTTAAGCCCAACTATGTCAATAATTACAGAAAACATAAATTGTATAAAGATTCCCATATTAGCAAAAATTACTAGGTTGGATTTAAAAAGCAACAAGATCCAACTATATAATACAACAAATCCATTTTAAATATAAAGATATAAGTAGGCTGAAAGTAAAAGGGCAGGGAAAGGTGCACCACCCTAACAATAATAGAAAGAAAGCTAGATGGGACGGGGCAGAAACCAGGTGGAGGGGGGCAATGGGGGAAATAGGAGAACATCTGTAATACTCTCAACAATAAAGATTTTTTAAAAAGGAAACTGGAGTTCCTATGTTAATATCAAATAGAATAGACTTCAGAGTAAAGAATATTATCGGGAAACAAGAAAGTCACTTCAGCCATGGCCAGATTGCTCAGTCGTTAGAGTGTCAGCCCTCAGACCGAAGGGTCCTGGGTTTGATTCCCAGTTAAGGGATTAAGAGCATGTACCTTGGTTGCTGGGAGACAACCAATCGATGTGTCTCTTTCATGTCGATGTTTTCTGGGGGCTTTTTTTTTCTCTCTCTCTCCTCCTCCTTCCCCCTTTCCACTCTCTAAAAATCAATGGAGCTCTAGCTGGTTTGGCTCAGTGGATAGAGCGTCAGCCTGGGGACTGAAGGGTCCTGAGTTTGATTCTGATCAAGGGCACATGCCCAGGGTTGCAGGCTCTATCCTCAGTAGGGGGCATGCAGAAGGCAGCTCATCAATGATTCTCTCTCATCATTGATGTTTCTATCTCTCTCTCTACTCCCCCTTCCTCTCTGAAATCAAAAAATATATTTAAAAAAATCTCTATATATAAAAGCCTAAGTGACCATCACAACCAAACAGACGACCGAACAGGCTGCGTGGGGGGACTAGGCTGGCAGGGGGGTTAGTGAGGGATGACCAAACGACTGAGCAGCAGGCTGTGTGGGGTGACCAGGCCCTCGGGGGGGCAGTTGAGGGAGGCCAGGCTGGCAGAGGGGGGCAATGAGGGGTGACCAGGCCGGCAGGGGAGCCAAATGGGGGCGACCAGGCTGGCATGTGGGGCAGTAAAAGGCGACCAGGCCGGCAGGGAGCCAGTTAGGGGCGACCAGGCTGGCGGGGGGTGGGCAGTTGGGGGTGACCTGGCCAGCAGGGGGGGGCAGTTAGGGGGAATCAGGCAGGCAGGCAGGCAGGCAGGTAAGTGAGCAGTTAGGAGCCAGTGGTCCTGGATTGTGAGAGGGATGTCCGACTGCTGGTTTAAGTCCAATCCTGGCAGTCAGACAGCCCCCGAGGGGTCCCGGATTGGAGAGGGTGCAGGCTGGGCTGAGTGGGGACCCCCCCCCCACATGAATTTCGTGCTCCGGGCCTTTAGTAAAATAATAAAAATCAATGGCAAAGTATCCTCAGAGGAGGATACAAAAAAAGTCATTTTGCCGAGGCCGGTTTGGCTCAGTGGATGGAGCGTCGGCTTGTGGACTGGGGGGTCCCGGGTTCGATTCCGGTCGGGGGCATATGCCTGGGTTGTGGGAGATGTGCGGGAGGCAGCTGATCGATGTTTCTCTCTCATCGATGTTTCTGACTCTCTGTCTCTCTCCCTTCCTCTCTGTAAAAAATCAATGAAATATATTTTTAAAAAAGTCATTTTATAATGATAAAGGGGCCAATTTATCAAGCAGAAATGATGATGCTAAATGTTTATGCACCTGATAACAGATCTTCCAAATACTAACGAGGTGTTTTGGGGGCCTCATAGGAAAGACAGTGCTTTGTAGGATTCCATATAAATAGAGTCTCTATTTCTTCTTTTTCTATTTTTAGTATTATCTATTATGCTCACTGTAAATTAAACGTAAGGACACTACACCTACCTTTATATGGTTATCAAAAGAAACCATCTTGAGAGGCAGTAAATAGTGGTTGCAAGTGGATAGTGGTGGCAAGTTATTTTGGCTTCTCTGGACTTCAGTTTTTCCATCTGTACCATGAAGGTCAACTGTCTTGGAAAAAAAAAAAAAGTTTAAACAGTGACTTTTCCCCAGCCTATTAACATGTTGAACCCATATAAGCACGAGGAACCATGGAGGCTGGGTCAACTATCCAGGGCTTGGGCACTGGTACTGGCCATCCTGGGATGGGAGCAATAGCAAGGATGGAAGACCCGGAATCCTAGGAGATCTAAATGAGAACTTGAGCCAAATATCTTGCTGGTCAGGCTCTTAATTCTTCCCCTGACTTGTGTGATCTGGGGAAAGAGTATTCTATTAACAACAGTCTTTCACTTGAAGCATTTTCAACAACTGACAGCAAATACAGATGTGAATTTTGTAAGCTGCCCTCAGCTTCTATGTAAATGAACGGATTATGGGGAGAATGACAGGTGCTGACTTGTACTTATTTAATTTTTCCAAGTGACCTGACTGGCAACAACCGAAGGCAAATGACAGCTATTTCCTAGCTCAACAAATCCGAGGGATTAGCAGATGGAGCCATTAGCGGCTTTCTTGGCTGGCAATGGAGGGACAGTATTGCTCTCTGCTCTTCATTGCACACAAGCGCTCAGCATTATATACCAGGTCACAGGTACAACAGCACCTGCGCTCCTCTGACGCTTCCGAGAGAGGGCTCTGTGGGGAGAATGCTGACACACAATATGCGCAGCACACGCGTATCATATGCAGCAGCTACATTAAAACTGTGACAGATATAAGCTGCTTTAGTATACAGGACCACCTCGAGCTGTGGGATCTGATGTGTGAACCAGTGTGTATGGCAAATATCTTGTCAACATCCTTTTCTTCATGTCTCTTGTCTTTTTGCTTTGAAACATGGATAAATGAAATTTGGAGGAAGAAACCTAGGTAACAAGGATAACAAAAAGAAAGAAGGTACCATAGTTCTGTATCCTCCCAGGAGAATCAATCATCCAGAAACCCAGCGTTTGGCTTTTTCACAGAATCCTTCCAACCAGTCTTACAGGTACTACTAAGAAGGGGGAATCAAAGCAGTTAACACAGTAAAGTCTAGAAGGATATACTCCAGGTGGCTGACACTCTTTCCAAAGGATGAAAATGCAAAGGGATGATGACAAATTATTAAATTTTCTTTACACATTTTTGAATTATTTCATCTGTTACATTAAGCACATATCACTTCTGTAATATACATTAATAAAGAACATTGATACAGAAAGCAACTACCTTAGTCATTTAAAACACACACACACACACACTGATCAAGAGAGTGTTTGTATATAATGTACACGGTCTGTCATATTTACAAGAAGCAGTAAGCTCACCAAAGACTAAAATGCCAGAGTCTAATTATTAGTTTATAGCAGAAGTTTTACGAGGCAGGAGCATGAGGGGAGCCTCTGGGTTTGTAACTTTCCTCTTGCCTGAGCCCCTATTCTACTGGGCAGCCCCGTGCCCAACCCTGTAATTAAATGAAGTCATGTGGGTGATGACTTAGCACAGTGTCTGGAACCAGCTAGTACTCTACCTCACAAAAAGGTCCCACAGAATCAAGGTCACTTACCTCCTGTTAGATGGGATCGGCTTCCTCCTGGGGTAAATATCACATCAATTATTGAAAGCAGAGATGTATGGTCTCCTCAAAGGGCAACATATCCCTCTCCTCTGAGAGCTCCTGCCTGAGATGTGACACAGGTCACTACCTCTAAACCACTCCCACAGCATAATCCTATGATTAGTGGGGTGCTTCCTCAATGGAACATGTTTTAGAATCGTCAGGGTTTTTCAACCTTGGTCATATAGAGATTTCGGGCCCAGTGTTTCTTTGTTGTCAGGGGTTGGGTAGGGGGTAACCTGTGCATTGTAGGATGTTTGGTGGCATACAACATATACCAAACTGCTCAAGCCAAAACTTTACCCACTAGATGCCAGCAGTATCCAACCCCACAGTTGTGGCAAAAATATCTCCAGACATTGCTAAGTGTCCACTATGGGGCAAAACTGTCCCCAGTTCAGAACCACTGTCATAGATCAATTTCGTTGTTCTTCAGCTATCCCATAAGAACCTGGGGCTAGGACTACACATTAATGTCCATGTGCCCCACCTCCACCACCAAAAACGCCCCCACAAAACGTGAACTTTTAAACTTTGTTTTAAGACGCATGAAAGTCAAGTTTCCCGAAGCATTTATCTAACATTTTAGTGCAAATGTTCTCACTTATAGGTGGCTGCCAAAGGACAATAGGCAAGGAAAAATTAGGTAGGTCAAGCCAGGCCCTGTGGGGATGAGAGGGAGGGATGAGGTGTTCAGTTTTCCCTGATGAACAAGATCTCAAATTCACTCGGGCAGCATAAAATGAGTGAGACAGGCTGGCAGACGATAGCTGCTTAGTTGTATGGCTTTAAATACCATCTATGTACTGATGACCCCACATTTTATATTTCTTTGTTGTTGCTAATCCTCATCTGCCCTTTACCAGGAATTGAACCCGTGATTCCCCAGTGCTCCAGCCAACACTCCAACCACTAAGCCACACCAGCCATGGCCCACATTTTATATTTCCAATCCTCACCTCCCTCATGGTAGCCAGCTTCTTGCACTCAACTGCCACTCAGTGTCTCCATTTGGGTCTTATACAGGAATCTCAAACTCAGCATGGCCAAAACGGAACTGATTTTCCCTCCTAAACCTGGTCCTCCTCCAGTATTTCTCATAAATGGCCAGACCACCATACAACAAATTGCTCAAGCCCAAACTGAAGTCATCCTTGATTCTTCTATTCCTCTTTCCCTCACCTCCATATCCACCGGTCATGTCAGCTCTGCCTCCAAACCCATCCCTAGTCTGCCTCTTTTCTCTAGCTCAGTGATGGCGAACCTTTTGAGCTTGGCGTGTCAGCATTTTGAAAAACCCTAACTTAACTCTGGTGCCGTGTCACATATAGAAATTTTTTGATATTTGCAACCATAGTAAAACAAAGACTTACATTTTTGATATTTATTTTATATGTTTAAATGCCATTTAACAAAGAAAAATCAACCAAAAAAATGAGTTCGCGTGTCACCTCTGACACGCGTGTCATAGGTTCGCCATCACTGCTCTGGCTCCACTCCTGCCACCCTAGTATGAGCCACTATCATATCTTACTAAACCACTGCATTAGCTTCCTAACTAGTTCTTGTTTTCTTGCTTGTCCCCTACATCAGGTTTTCTCAATATCACACTATTGATATATTGGGCTAAGTAATTCTTTGTTTGGTGTATATGGTGGGGAGGGGCTGTCTCATGAACTGTAGGATGTTTAGCAGCATCCCTTGCCTCCAACCACCAGACACCAGTAGCAAAACTCTCCCCCATCCCCCGCCCAAACTGTGACAAACAAAAATGTCTTTAGACATTGTGAGGGGACAGAACCACCCCCCCCGCCCCCCCCCCCCCCCCCAGCTGAGAACCACGGTCCTGCATCCTATACACAGAAGGCAGGGTATTTTAAAAATATAAATTGCATCATGTCACTCCCGGGCTGAAAACCCTCCACGTCTCTCCACTGACCTTACAGTAAAACCCCTCCTTGCCTGGCTTACAAGACCTCTATGAACTGGCTCCTGCCTACTTCTCTAACATCCTCTCTTCCCGACCATGACTCTCCCTCGTTAAACTCCAGCCACATGGGTTTTTCTGGTCCTTAAACATTCCAAGCTTGCACCCATCCACTCTTCGCACTTGCTGTTCCCTCTGCCTAGAATACACTCTTTCCAGGTCTTTGCATGGCTCACTGTTCATGCACAGAAATCTCAGTTCCAACGGTGCTTAGTCAGCGAGGCCATCCCTGACCATCCTATCTGAAGAGCCACTGACCTCCACTCTCTACCACATTACTGGTTCGTTTCCTCCACGGTGCTAATCACAACAGGGAACTGTCCTGTTCTCCTGGAGAGCCAGACCCTGTCTATCTGGCCCTCTGCTATAGCTCTAGTGAGAGAATACCATCCGGGATAGAGTGGGTACTCAAATGTCCTCCCCTCCACCTCCTCATATCTCAGGTCAAGTTTCCCTTCTATATATTTCAATGCCATTTAACAAAGAAAAATCAACCAAAAAAATGAGTCCACGTGTCACCTCTGACACGCGTGTCATAGGTTCGCCATCACTGCTCTAGCTCCACTCCTGCACACATCCCAACGAAGGATTGAACCGGCAACCTGGGCATATGCCCTGATTGGGAATCGAACCAGAGACCCTTTGATGCTCAACCCACTGAGCCACGCCAGCCAAGGCTCTAAGACAGCGGTTCTCAACCTGTGGGTCGCCAACCTGTGGGTCACGACCTCTTTGGGGGTCGAACGACCCTTTCACAGGGGTCGCCTAAGACCATCGGAAAACACATATATAATTACATATTGTTTTTGTGATTAATCACTATGCTTTAATTATGTTCAATTTGTAACAATGAAAATACATCCTGCATATCAGATATTTATATTAGGATTTATAACAGTAGCAACATTAGTTATGAAGTGGCAACGAAAATAATTTTATGGTTGGGGGTCCCCACAACATGAGGAACTGTATTAAAGGGTCGCAGCATTAGGAAGGTTGAGAACCACTGCTCTAAGTTTATTCTTTTTTTTTTTTTAAAGAAAATATCTTACTTTGTTAATTTTAATTCAATTGGTTTCAGAAAGGGAGGGAGAGGGAGAGATAGAAACATCAATGAGAGAGAATCATTGATTGGCTGCCTCCTGCACGCCCCCTATTGGAGATCGAGCCTGCAACCCAGGCATGTGCTCCTGGACTGGAATCCAACCCCGGACCCTTCAGTCTACAGGCCGATGCTTTAGCCACTGAGCCAAACCAGCTAGGGCTCTAAGATTAGTCTTGACTGGTGACCTTCATTTCTAACTATACTAGAACTATGTTAAAAAGTACAGCTGGGGTTACCATGTACAGGGCTTAGTACAAAAAAAACCCACCCAAAACCTGCTTATTTTGAAACAAACAAAGGCCAATTACTGAATGAGTGAAAGTCTGTTCCACGACCCTCAGGTTTTTAGCAGGCATACAATCATCCTACCGGCATCATTTCTGGTTGCATCCTGTCCCTAGGCAGTGAAGGGACTATGAATCTCAAACTCACCTGGTTCAGAGGTTCAAACAGCCTCTTATCCATCAACTCAATTTCTACAGGAGAAAGGACCTGGACACTTGTGCTGGCTTCCCGTTAAAACAGTTGCCTGGGTCAAAGGCAGGAAGGTCCAAGGTGCAGCGTGGGCAGTAAATGTTGGCTGAGTCCGGAAACTGCAGATTGGCCTTTCTTAGGCTGATGTATAGGCGGTTGCTCTGATTGGTCCACCTGGCATTGGTGGCTGCAAACTGGAGGCAATGTGGTCCTGGCCGAGGGCCATGGCCCTTCCGTGGCCTTTGGGAAGTGTTTCATCGGGACATTTTTACGTTCTGGCTGGCTGCCGTCTTGTCCCTCCGGGGAGGGCTCTCCACGCGGTGCAGAGACGTCTCCACGCGCAAGGACGAGGCCCTGACGTGGCGGGAGGACGTTTCTGTGCGCTGCGAGGAGGTCTCCACGTGCTGGGAGGACACCTCGAGGATGCGAGGAAGCCGCTTCCCAGAGGGGACCTGGGAGGTCTCCACCTGCCGGGAAGACGTGTGCACCCGCCGGGAGGAGGTTTCCACGCGGTGGGACGAGGTCTCCACGCGGACCGTCGATGTCTCCTTGTAGCGGGTGGTTTCCACCAGGGGCGAAGCGGTCTTTCCCCGCAGGGGTGAGGCCATTCTACGGGTGGAAAGGGGGTGGGAGGCCACGAGACCTCGGGAGGCCCCACAGCCTAACACTCCCCGAGAGTCTCGCCCCTGGGTTACATCACAAGGGAAGGGATGATGTCACAATGGCGTGTCACGTCACCGCAGGCACAAGGGTGGACGAGAGTGCCCCAACACCATGGCATGCAGGCACCGGGTTCTGTCGGGCTTTTCTCTCCCTTGCAAATACCGGACCCCGCCCCGCGCGCTCGCCTTTAGGGGTCCGCGCAGGCGTGTCGGCGGCCGAGCCCGGGCGAGCCTGGGCGGGCCCGGGATGGGCGGAGCCTCCCGCTCCCACGCTAGGCTGTGCCCGCCCCCACATCCCACACTGCCCCGCGACAGGAAGGCGGAGCCGCGGCTTCCGGAACCTCCTCCTCCACTCCTGGCGGTGGCTGTGTGGGGCTGGAGGCAGCTGAGCTTTTTAGCCGGTGATGGCCGCGGCTGTCGCTATGGAGACAGGTCAGTAACGCTCGGAGCCGCGAGTCTCCGCGGACAGACGGGTCCTGGGCCGGGACGCCTGCTCCAGCTCCCGGGACGCCGTGCAGGCCTCATCTCCGCGGGGTGACAGTGCGGACCCGGGGGCGCGAGGGCTCTTGTCGCGGCTGGAAAAGCTAAGGGAGTTTGGCCTTTCCAGAGGCTGATTTGTTCGCAGGCCTTTTCCCTCACTTGCTGGTCAGACACCCACCCCGTGGGCTTCCTGGCGCGGGCGAGACTAACCCGGAGGAGTTCGATTTGTTTTCTGCGTCTCAGATGAACTTGTCTAAGTTTGAAATATCGCGGACACACTTGTGAATTTTTCTGCCACTGACGCTCCTCACATACCCACGCGCTCCCTGGTCTTGCACACGTTCCGTCTCTTTTTCAGCTTGAATTCTAAACTTTCTTTTCTGATTGACTTAGCATTCGCTTAGCTTTTGTTAATTTAATCCCATTAACATTTTAACGCAGTATTCATATAGGGGAAGGCACAGTTATTACCACGTACCCCAGTGGTCACCGTCAAAATCTCTACATAGTGGCTCACAAGTGATAAATGTCCTGCCCCCTGTGTGTTCCTGTTTTCTTTGATGACTTTAAACTTTAGAGAAATAATCACTTTAATCAGGGCTTTTCTTACCCTTGTGAATGTTTATCCCCTCTTAGAAAAACAATCATCACCTGCCCTTCATGTAGAAATACCTATCAGCATTAGTTGGGCTTCTTTACTGCTGTTTTCTTTCTACAAGTTAACATTATATAAAGTGACCTTTATTTTGGGTGATTTTCGTTATCTTTTCTCCTAGATGATGCTGGAAATCGACTTCGGTTTCAGTTGGAGTTGGAATTTGTGCAGTGTTTAGCTAACCCAAATTATCTTAATTGTAAGTTGTTGAGCACCTCATTGAATGAATGGTTTCTGACAGATGAGTTGCAATTCATTAGTGTCTGTTTTTTGTTTTGTTTTTTTTAGTGTCTGCTTTTATACATTCTCAATTGAACGGAATTATTGCTGCACTTATACTGGTGTATATACTATATATAATTGAGCAAGCTGGGACTTGTTTTATGAATTCAGTGTGTGTTGGTGGTGGGGATGTTATGTGTGTAAATTCTTTGTTAGAAGTCACAAATCAGTGGTTCAAGGATTGGTTTGCTCTACAGATGCATTTTTTTTTTTTTATGCCTTTCAGTTCTTGCCCAAAGAGGTTACTTCAAAGACAAAGCTTTTGTTAATTATCTTAAGTACTTGCTTTACTGGAAAGAACCAGAATATGCCAAGTATCTAAAGTAAGTTTAATTTTAATAGTCCTAAATATGTATATACTTGATTATACTCGAAAACACTGATATTTAACAGGCTTCTTGGTTTTACCCATCTCTCCACTTTTAGTTGCCACCACCTTACAAGACACACTTATCTCGGATTATTGCAGTGATCTGCCCACTGGTTATCTTTGCTTCCACTCCTACCTTTTTTTCTCCACCCCACCCTCTCACCCCCAGCCAAACAAAGCAAAACAATTCTTTATGCAGAAGCCAAATTGACCTCTTGAAAATGTAAATCACAACGTGTTACTTTCTTGCTTAGAATCTTTCAATGGCTTCCCAGTGCATCCAGAATAAAATTCAGTCTCTTGAGCTGAAGTTCTATATGATCTGCCTCTGTCTTATCTGACCTTATCTTGTACTATTCACCCCATCTCACTGGTTTTCTGACCCCAAGGAATCCACATTCTATAAATGCAGGAACATAGCTATAGGCTAAAAGTTTAAGAATGTAGAAAGGGGTACTTGTAAGGACAGTTTTCTGGAGGAGGTAACCTTACCAGAGTCTTAATAGCTACTGGTTTTTTAGGGCCTCCTATGTGCTGTACTGTGCCCATTTTAAAAATAAATGAACACCCCCCCCCACACACACACACACATACACATAATTTAGGTTGTGCAAAAGATGTTGTCATTTTAATAGTTACTAAATTGCAAAAAGCATATTATAATCACAAGCATTCCTTTTTACTGGTAAAAAGTAAACTTTGAATTCACACCTCTTTGTCTTAACTAGGCAGTAAAAAAAGCAATAATGAAACTTTGTTTTTTTCTAAGCAAAGTTTGAGAGGAAAATGTTTCAAACTTGCACTTGTTATCCAAGTCACTTTTCTGATCTATGTCTAATGCAGTGGCTCCCAACCTTTTTTGGCCATGCCCCACCTAAGCATCTCTAAAATCCTAAGGCTGCCCTCTATGGAGGAAGCCTAAAGACCATTAAGTCTAGATAAGCTTCCAAAGAACATGGCGTCCATGAAAGAGAAAAATAAAAGGACAGTTGAATACTGAGGAAGAAGTCACTAAGAAATTGTTAAAAAAATAATGTGAAGTGATATGAAAAAATAGCAAATAGTTTCAAAATATATAATAGAGAACTGAAATGCATAAATATGTCACAATATATATTTATATACTGTGAGGCCCCTAGAACCATAAGAAATGCAAAAAATTCACTGTTAATAACTCCATTCTTGAATTGTTCCCCTTAATCAAAAGGGCATGTGCTTCATGTTGGGAACCACTGGTCTAATAGTTGATTCATGAAGCTGCCTGCAGGATCCTCTGTACCCTTCCTGGCTCTTTATAAACAACCACTTATTCATTTAATAATTCACAGTAAATACTTTATTAGATCCCAACATGTATGTATGTAGATTAGAGACTCAGTGATGGACACTGAATTAGACACCACAAGTTTAATTTCAGTCACCACACTGCTGAGATGGTCATCTAAACTATGGCTCGAGGTTCCCCGTGAGCACTGCAGGAGTATACTGTTTCCCAAACGTGTCATTTCTACCGCTTGTCCAGTTTTGGCTCTGTGTACTCCCTATATGATTTACTTTTTAAAAATATATATTTTTATTTATTTCAGAGAGGAATGGAGAGGGAGAGAGAGATAGAAACATCAATGATGAGAGAGAATCCTGCACAACCCCTACTGGGGACTGAGCCCGCAACCCCGGTATGTGCCCTTGACCAGAATCGAACACGGGACCCTTCAGTCCACAGGCTGATGCTCTATCCACTGAGCCAAAACTGGCTAGGGCTGATTTAGTGTTTTTTAATTTACTCATTTAAACTTTATCTCTTTTCTATTTGAAATAATTTTACTTACAAAACAGCTTGGAAAAATAGTAAAGAGCATCCCTATATATTCTTCACCCATATATTCTAAATATTAAAAATCTTATGTAACCACAGTACAATGATCAAAATTAGAACATTAACAATATACTGTCTAACCTTCTCTAATCTACAGACTTCAGATTTCACAGGCTGTGTTACTAATGCCCTATGTCTGGTACAGTATCCAGTGGAGGCTCATATGTTGCATTTTGTCATCTCTTAGTCTCCTCCCACCTGAGTTCGTCAGTCTTTTTTTCCCTCCATGACTGTGACACAGAAGTCAATTTACCCACCACTGATGATGTTATTTTTGATCACTCGGTTGAGGTGGTAGCTGCCAGTTTTCTCTATATCAAGTTACTATTTTTTCTTTTTAATATGTTGTGAGGAAATACTTTGAAACTATGTTTCACACTTTTACCCACTAATTATCTATTGAAGATACTTGCCTCAAAGAATTTTTACTGTGGTGATTTTCTAATTCCAATTCCATCATAATTCCAATTTAGTAGTTGGAATTCAGTTGTAAAGAACATTCCCTTGTTCCCAACTTATTCATTCATTTTTAAAAGTTACATCACTGTGGACTCTTGGCATCTTAATTTTTATCTTGTGGATTATTATTATGTATGTCCTTGCTCTAGTGATTCCAGCTGTGGCCACTAGGAGCCCCTTCACATGGTCTCTGGAGTACTTCTGACATAATTTTTGAGCACTTTTCTTTGGCACTACACACTATCCCAGGCTCATCTTGTCTTTTCCTTGCCGTAGCCCGGAATCAGCCATTTCTCCAAGGAACTCTGGAAAATGCTATTTAAAACCCACAAGTTGGGCACTAAACTGCTTGCTAGTACCACCATGCCATTGTTCCTACGCCTTGTCAGCACACAAACTGAGAACACATATCTGTGTCTGGCTCTATGTTTCTGTCTAAAAAGTCATGAGTTCATACTGCTGTTTTCAGTTCCTGCTCAAAAATAGGGTTCATTCTTGCCTTCTCCCTTTCCTCATGTTTCTTTTTATGATAGCCAGAAATTTGACTCTTTATCCACAGTACATTTACTTAGGTCTTTGCTCAGTCTTAGAGTATATATAATTTCAGAATTCCATATCCCCATGGAAAACTAGAGTATAATATTTGTGCATAGTTCTTTCTGAAATTGACCCTGACTTTTTATCATTATTGATGGAAAACCAATAGTTATCAAACACATTAATTACTAAAAATTAAGTGTTCCTACTCGTCACTTTGGAAACCACCAGAGTAGATTAACTCGATTTGCCCCCAAATGTTGACTCTGCTTACCAGTTATTGTGTGATCTTGGGCAAGTTACTTAATCTTTCTGATCTTAAGTTTTCTCACTTGTGAAAATTTTGCTTAATTCTCACTTTTGATCACTAGTTTCTTTGAGCAAGAAAAAAAAGAACTATGCTACCAAAGTGTTCTAAGTTAATGTTACAGAAATTGTAGCTGCAAGATCATTTGTACATGAGTAACTGAATTAGAGCTTGGAGTTATTGACTTAAATGATGCCAGTCATTAATTGATAAACTTAAACCCAGGTACCCTCAGTGTTTGCACATGTTAGAACTACTCCAGTACGAACACTTCCGCAAGGAGCTGGTGAATGCTCAGTGTGCGAAATTTATTGACGAGCAGCAAATTCTGCACTGGCAGCACTATTCCCGGAAGCGGATGCGCCTTCAGCAAGCCCTGGCAGAGCAGCAACAGCAAAATAACACCTCAGGAAAATGAAAAGCTGGATCCAGACCAGGCTCCTAAGACTGTATATGTTGCTTCTGTACAGTGAAGACCAAAAAAAAAAAAAAAGACTCATCTTACCTACTTTCTTGTGCTAGCACTGAGTACCTTTGGTGTGCTATTTAATCCAACTAACTTTTCATTGTCAGTAGATTATTTCTGTTAAGCCAAAAGTGTTCTTTGATTTCCCTCTGGATTTGTAGATTTTTATTAGTATTTAACACACTCAACTAAGGACAGAAACATTTGGTGCTTTAGACCAGTTTAAGGAGGCAGTGAGGATGGGGCAGGGGGAGGGCCGCCAAACATCCTGAACTCAGTCAGGCTCTGTTCCTCATGTACAGTGGGGGCTGGGGCAAGTCCATCTCCTGGAACCTTACTGTCCCTCAGGTCAGCTACCCCACCCTTCTTATCTACATAGTAGTCATTGACTATTCCTTATCCACATAAGAAATAGAGTCAGTGACCTCTTTAAATCCCAGAGCAGGAACGGCATAAGGTTTTTTACATTCTGCAGGAGAAGAGGACATACCTGTCTCACTACTTGCTTTGCAAAGAGCTTTAATGGAAGAATCATTGCTATGTCGCTGACCTAGTGATGGCAGGGAGATAGATAGTTAACTAATTGGACTCTTGACCTTAGACTAGAACAAAGATGAGGAATTCCAAATACTTGTGCTCATTTGGCAAAGCTAACGTTTATTTGGCAGACACCACAAACCAGGCACCGTGTTAGTGCTTAGCTGCATTTTCATGTCAGTCTTAGAACAATCTTTGTTCAAAAGGGGGAGACTGAGGCTTAGACAGTTTAAGTAACTTGCCTATGGTTACACTGCTAGTAAGTGGTAATCAGAGTGTGACTGACTCAGGGGGAATCCTTCCTCCCGCTTGGCTGTATCGGCTCTAGCCTCTGCTCCCTGCCTCATCCCAAGTAGTGAGGTACGTTCAGACTGTGAAACAAAGCTGCCTCTATGAAGTGGGGCTGGATTAGCTGTGCTGTGCTGTGGTTAGCTTAAGTTCTGCATTCTAAAGCCAAAAAGGTGTTTTAGGAACAATATTTCTGTGTAAATTCATGGGATTTAAATTAAAAGATCCTAAAATTCATTCAGAGATTTGGAAGCAAATTTACTATTAGGGGCTTTCAGATACTCCTATTATCTCCAATAACACATTCCTTTATGCTATTACTACCACTCCTGAAGACTTATTTTACCTATATTTTAAAGATATCCATATATTACAAACAAACAGGGTTCATGAGCATTTGTATAGCACTCCAATGTTTAGACATGCCATTTTTTAAAATCATCATTTATTTATGCCTAACATGAATTCAAAGCAAGCATGCAATTTCTTTTATACTAGAATAAATCAGGAAATCAAGACACAACTGTCATAATCAAATCTTAATCTTCAGTGAACAACATCTCCACGAGGTTGGCCTGAAGACATTCAGATTCTACCAGTTTTTGAGGCTGTAAGAGAAGAACAGTCAAATCGTAACCCACAGCTATAAAAATGTTATTAGGAGGGGATAGAGTTGTTCAGCCTTGAATGACACAAATATTTAAACAGAAAGTACGCCATTCAGAAACTATTAACTAGTTGTAACAAGTTTTATGAAACAAGATATTTGCTCTAAGTTCAGTCATTAAAATACTTGACTCAAAACTTAGACTAAAACAGGAGACAGCAAGTCCAGTGCCACCCCCTTGCCCTCTATTCTTTAGTTTAGAATCCCAGAGCTATGACTAGAAGTTCCTTTTCAACCAGAATTATGGGTTAACTGGCAAGCAGCCACTGATGCCAGTGTTTAAGAAACCATGTGTAAATCAACTTTCTTGAGCAGTGCTTATAGAATTTTAAATTAATAACTTTTAAAAAGCATAAAAAGATGTAATACTTAGCTATTTACATTACTAACAGTTTATTGGGATTGTCCATAGGGGATGGACAGATGCACTCTGAACAGCACTGTGATGTTTGGATGAAATGTCAAGACCTTTCCATATCTGAATCCAGAACAAGTTAAAAGAGTTGTGACGGGGTGAACTGTAGCCCCAACATAGTTGAAGAAAGATACTCACTGTTCCATATTTAAGGAGTGTAGGCACTGCAGTTATTTTCAAGTTTGTTTTGAAGTCATTATTTGGATCTTTCCAACTATTATGAAAAGAAAAAGTGATCATGAAAAACATTTTACTATGTTTCTTATATTTTGTTTAATATTTGATATATTCCTACATTTAGTTTTTTAGTAATCATTTTGTTGTAAACATTTTAAAAACCTTAAGAACTGTGACTTACCTATTCCTCTGTGTAAGTTTCCTTTAAAGTGTGATTAAGATATGTATGTAAAGACAATTAAGTTCTGAACTAACACTAGACTAAATTTATTGAATTACCCTTCTAATACAAGCGGCTGAACATTCAGAATTTTGATCTGTATTTATATCTTCTAATTGCTTGACTCATCCACTGTACCTTAGACATAGAACCTGAGTCCCGGGGCCCTTCCCACCTGTTTGGCAGAGTGCAGTGCATGTCTGGGGGAGAGAGTATATATTGCCACTTACTAAGGTTTTTCTCCTACTTGGCAGTAGATGAACACACATTCTTCACTAATATGCTTCAGCCCTTCTCGTACGACTGGTTCAGCTTAAAAAAAAAGTTGATATAAAATAATCACATCAACTCTACAACCAAGCCCTGATAAACAGCATCCCCTCTCCCCTCCCCTCATGTTGCTAACAACTCAGACCTAACCTGCAGTTAACTGAGGTTAACAGAAGGCAGGTGTTTTCTGATTTAAAAGCCACTTTAAGGGTAACTACGTCCCGGTCCAGACGCCCAGAAGAATGAAAGGCATATTTGCTGACCTATGCAAAGGACATCAACTCCCGTCCTCACCAAGACGCTAATCATACTGAGGAAGTGAAAAATCGTAAAGGACTAGCTGTCAAGATGATATGGGTCGAATGGCAGAAGGCACTCTTGGGGCGGGAGCGCACTTAACGGGAGAGAAGGGAACAAGGTGGGACAAGGAGGCAAAATGCCAGCTTAGAAAGCCCTGCGGATCCTCCAGGAGTAAGACTCCTCCCTCTGCCATGAACTCCGCTCTCCGGCCAGAACCTCGGCCTTGCCTTCCTCCACTCCCTTTGGGCAGCAGCCCCGAACCCCGGCCTCACCCAGCACGCAGTCGGGGCACCAGCTTTTCCCTTCGGCGTCCTTAGAACCGGTAAAGTAGGCGAAAATGGTCTTGCCTTTGTGCTGCTCCACAGCCCGGGTGAAGTCCTCGAAGCCGGACACACTCACCTCCTCGTAAGGGGCCATGGGGAACGCGCTCCGGGAACCGAGGATAGTCGAGGGAAGATAGTCCGGGTGGTACTGCCCAGAGGCGGGGCCCACGTGGGGCGGGGCGAACCTGCTTCCGGGTGGGCTGAGCACCAGGTGACTGCAGGAGCCCAAAAGCTTGGGGAGATGGGGGGCTACGGAGGCTTCTGAGGGCCATAACTGATCCGTACCGCCTTTCTGCTCTCGCTTCTCCGACCTTCCCGTTCTGGCTCCATTCCGAAACCCAGGCTTCTTTCCTAATTTGGTCTCGGCCCCAGCCCCATAGACAATGGCTGCAAAACCTGCTGCCGCGCAGCCCTGGAACCCTGACGTGGCTCTCGAGCTCTAACGGCTCCCAAGCCGCCCTGCGCCTGTTGCCATGGCGACCGGGCGAGCGGCCGGAAACCAGGCCTAATTGAGGTCCCCCCCGCCTGCTTCCCAGTAACCGTGCCGTGCCTCGCCGCCTCAGGCCGGGTGGGCACCCGCGGTGTTGGGGGGTCCTGGGGAGCTGCGTTAGGAGTCTTGGACCTGGGGGAGAGGAGAGCTTGGCCCAGGGCAGATACTGCTGCTCGTCGCCCCTTTTAACTATTTTCCTGCCTAGGCTTTAGGGTGGGGCCAGGACTGAAGGGAGGGCGAGCGGGGCGCGGGGGTGGGGGGCTGGGAGGAAGTCAGGCTGCGCGGTTGGAGCTGGTGTGAGTGCGAGTGTGGAGCAGCCCGGGCCAGGTGCCCTGGGCCTGCGTGGGGTGGGGGGCGGGGGGGAGATGGGAGTTGCCCTCGAGCCCTGAGCCGGGCGGGCGTTGCGGCGAGCGAGCACTGAGATGCCGGGCCGCTGTGTGGGGCCCAGCAGGTCCGGGCGCGGAGCCCGGCGGCCCGGGGGGAGGAAATGGACGGGGGCGTCCCGAGGCCAAGGGGGGAGGCGCCGGGCGAGGTCCTCGGGGTGGGGGACGCGCTGTGTGAGTGCAGGGAAGCCGCCGGGCTGTCGGCAGCCGCGGGGGGGAAGACGAGCGGCGGAGACCGCCGAGGGCCCCGGGGCGAGCGAGGCTTCGGGGACGCCGGGCACTGCAGGCTCCATCGAGGCTGCGAAGGCCCCCGGGGCTGTGCTGGTGAACGGGGCGGCGGGGGAGCCCCAGCTGGTGGGGCCTGCGGGGTCGGTGTGGGTGACGGGCACCGGGGACGAGGAGCAGGCCGTGTGCAGGAGCCCGCGGGGCGGGGAGCGGAAAGGCCGCCCGGGGTCCATGGGGCACGAGAGCATCCTGGAGCTGTGGCTGAAGGTGCAGGCCATGAGGGCAGCCTCAGGGGGTGGGGAAGGGAGCCGAGTCGAGCTCCACCCCGTCCCTGCAGGAGAAGGGCCGGTGGAACGGGGTGTGCCCGGCCGAGCTTCGTGGGTAGAGACCAGCCGCCGAGGTCTCACGGGGCCGTGGGTGGAAGGGCAGGTTAGGGCGGCGCCCCAGGCCGCAGGAGCACCTGCAGCTGCTGGCCCAGGGGCGGGATGTGAGCGGCCCCCGGGCTGGCGGGGCCTGGGCCAGGCGGTGAGCTTGCCCCCTGAGGGTGTGCCTGGGGCTGTGGCCACAGGTTCTGGGATTGCCCCCCTCCTGCTGGGGAGAGGGCCAGCTCCGGGGGTGCCTGGGACTGTGGAGGAGATAGGCTACGAGGTTGCCCCAGGCCCGTGGGGAAGAGGACCGGTTATGGGGGTGCCTGGGGCCGCGGGGTGGCCTGAGGCTGTGGAGGTACCCAGAGCTGTGGAGGGAGAGGTAGGCTGTGGGGGTGCCCCAGCTCTGGTGCAGGAGGCAGTCTATGGGGACACCTTGTGGGGGAGGGGCCAGGCTGTGGAGGTACCCAGAGCTGCAGAGGAACCGCCCTCTGTGGGTGCCCCAGGCATGTGGCAGAGGGGAGGAGCTCTGGAGGAGGTAGGCCCTGGGGGTGTCCCTGACCTGTGGGTCTCCAGGCAGCCTGTCGGGGTGCCTTGTGCTGTGGAAGAGGAAGCTAGATGCGGCGGCGACCCAGGGCTCAGGGAGATGGGACAGGCTGCGTGGGCAGAGACGGGCTCTGCCGGTGACCCAGGGCCATGGGAAGTAGCCCAGACCACGGAGGTGTCTGGCCCCGAAGAGCAGGAGGCAGGCCCCGGGGGTGCGCCAGGCCTCTGGCGTGTAGGGCAGGCCATGGGCGCGCCTCGGGCTTTGGGGCAGGAGGCAGGCGGAGGGAGTGTGCCGGGTCTGTGGGGACCAGCCCAGCCTGTGGGTGTGTCCCAGGCTGGGGTGGTACCAGGGGCCATGGGAGAGCAGACATGTTACGGTGGCATCCCAGGCCTGTGGGCCAGGCAGCAGGCTCTTGGGGTGCCTCTGGCTGAGGCAGTGCCAGGGGTGGTCGGGGAGGAGACGTGCTGTGAGGATGTCCCGAGTCTGTGGGAGAGGAGGCAGGCGGTGGGGGAGCAGGGGGCTCTGGTGCTGACAGCGTTAGGGGTCCCTGGGTCCGTGGACCAGGAGGCTGGCTACAGGGATGTTGCATGTCTGTGCAGGAGGAGACAGGCCATGGGCGTGTCTGAGGCGGTGGGGATGCCCGAGGCATCAGGCATGGCCAAGCACAGGTGCACCCCCGCGGGGGTCCCCGCAGCTGTGGGTGCGCCTGGCTCTGGGAGGGTGCCTGCCGCTGTGTGGGTGTCAGGCCCTGCATGTCCGGACGTCAGCTCTAGAGGGGTCTTGAACCCATGGGAAAGCGATCTCAGTACCGGAACGCCCCCGGCTGCTGGGGTCCCTGTGGCTTCTGAGGAGCTGGTGGCTGTGAGAGAGAATGTGGGGTCTGCGGCTTTCCCAAGGCTGTGGGGAAGGAGGCCGGTGCCCGGGCTTCCGGTGACTGACAAGGTTGCTGTAGTTCCCGAGGTACCTGGGCTTATCGGGGAAGAGACTGGCTCTGGAGGTGTCCCCAGATCTTGGGGAAGGAGGCAGAGTGCCAGGGTTCCTGTGGCCGTGGAGGTGCCCGCTGCTCCCAGGGTGCCTTGTCCTCTGGGGGTGGAGACCGGCTCTGGGGGCTTCTCACACTTGCCAGGGAGGAGACAGACTGCGGGGGTACCTGGGCCTGGAGAGGAGGAGACACTCTCTGGGGATCTCTTGGGCTCATCGGGAAGAAGACAGACGGCAGAGATGCCCGTGGCTGCCAGAGTCGCCATGGCCGTGGGAGTGCCCACAGCTGCTGGCGCTCCTGGGCTGGTGGTGGGTGACACCAGCGCTGGGGATGTCGCTGGTGCGTGGGGAAGGAGACTGGCGACAGAGGGGCCCGCTGCTGCCCGGGCTTCGGGACCTGTGGGCAGGGAGACGGGCTCTGAAGGTGGGCCAGGCCTGTGGCGGAGACCCACTACGGTAGTCCCCGAGGCTGTGAGGGTACCTCTGTCTTTGGGGGTGCTTGCAGGTGTAGGAGTTCCCGTGGCGGGGCACGTGCCTGCTGCGGTGTGGGTGTCTGGGTCTACAGGAGAAGAAACCACTGCTGCTGGCTCAGGCCTCACCGTGGTGACGAGACGGTCTGCAAGGGGGCCGGGGGCTTCTGGGGCGGAGACAGGAGGTGGGAGTATCCTGGGGCTGGCAGGGAGGAGCCAGGCAGCGGGGGTGTCATACACCCATGGGCGCGGGACCAGGTCCTGGAGCTGCCCAGGGTCTGTGGGGGAAGGAACCGACTGGGAGAATGTGCCAGGAGTGTCAGGGACAGGAGCGACTGGGGGCGGGGATGAAGCTGTGGCAGTGTCCGCAGTTTCAAGGGAGGAAATGGGCATTGGCCGTTTCAGAGATCACCCACAGCGGAGAGGGAGCAGCCAGACTGGAGGAGTGTGTGGAATGAGAGTGAGGGGGGACAATTTGGGAGAAAATTGTGTGGGGGAGGACAGATGGAGGGGGGCATTCCTGTAGTAAGAGTCGGGCACAAGTTGAGGGGTCCTGGGACTCTGGGAGGGAACAGTGTGGGGAGATTTGTCCTGGCGCAGGATGTAGAGGTGTCTCAGGATGGGGGATGGGGGATATTGTGTGGAGAAGGCCCACGGTATGTGGGGTAACGCATTGGGAGGTTTCCTGGAGCAATTGGAAAGGGGCAGATTGCGAGGAGAAAGGTGTCCCAGGACTTTGTACAGGGGAACAGTCTGTGTGTGTGTGTGTGTGTGTGTGTGTGTGTGTGTGTGTGTGTTTGGCATCACTCGGGGTATCGGGGAGCTGTGGACATCGCCTGGTTTTTTCCTGTAGAGAAAGGATCATTAGGCCTCATGCAGCCCGGGGGAAGGTGTTGACCACATAAAAGTTGCAGTCACCCTGGCCCCCGATTCTGCAGACTCCTGCATTGTGCGGCTCCAGCCCCTGAACGGTGGTGATACCAAGCCAGCTGGGATTGCCTTGCCCATGTACCTCCTCCCATCTTCGTTTTTTATCTTGTCTCTACAGCCTTAGAAATAAGGAATCTTGGACAGCTGCCTTTATGTTCCTTCAGATGTATCTGTCTTTAACAAATCCAGTCTACAGATGTTGGGTTTATTCAGAAGCTTACATTAGGGATTTTTTTTTAAACCTGCATTTCCCAGTTGATTTACCATGGGATTCTTTGAGAGAACAAATTCTCCATTTAACACAAGTCAGTTCATGGAAAATCAGCTTAATTCAACAAATGAGTTAAATTGTCTACTATGCTCAAAGCACTGTATTGTGGGAAATATCAGAGAAGAGCAAGACAAGGCCCTTACCCTCAAGGAACCTTGTCTAGCTGGGAAGATGAGACATGTGCCTGTGAAATAGGTAAATAACAACGTGAGACAAGTGTGAAGTCAGCACGTGGCGAGCGCAGGGATAGTGCCGTGTCTATCAGGAGGACTTCAGAATAGGGAGAGGCAGTGATAATGAGTAGAGCCCATAACAGCTTAACGCTTTCGTATCGTTTATCTCCACTGTGTGTGCATAGAGGGCGGAGATGGGGAAATGGAAGGTGTGGAGAGGTCATTCAGTGGTTAATGGCAGATCCTGGCATAAATCTAGATATTCTGACCCTGAGGTTTACTTAGAGTCATTCAGTTGTGTCATTTTGAGCCACCTCATAGGGCAAGCGGGACTACTTTCTGACGAGTGGTTGGGATTTATTAATGTAGAACATGTGTCCATAAAATGCCCTGCTGGGAAGTGCTTGTTGACCATAGCGGAGCTCTGTAGTAATATCTTACTAGAGACCCTTGAGATTTGAAATTTGGAATGAAAGGGGCTCAATAGATTGTCATTACAGTAGTGTCTCCCTATTCTCTTGGGAAGTCTAATTTCAATGCTTTTGTAAATGGAAGAAGCTATCCTATACCTATCCTCATATGTCATTGGCTCTCTAGTATGAGGTTGCTATGGGCTACTAGAACATTGTTATAAGAGCATGATGTTGTGTTTCACTTATTCTTTCCCTTTGAAGACTCTCGGTCTGAAAGTAGCTTTCTTTTATTTTAGGCAATGGTTTGGGGAAGAACTGTTGGCTGGTAACTAGGCTTTCACAATTGTTCTGCACTATCTGACATGATGGGACCAGGCAGACCAGCTTCAACTTGTGTTAATCACGCGTCTAGTGTCCAACTAGATGGGAGGAGTGACCCCTGGAGACTTCAGACCCAGGTAGTTGTGGTTTTCTTCCCCCTTCATATTTTTATTATGAAACATTTCAAGCAGAAAAGCTGAAAGAAAAGGGCAAGAACACCTTTTTTAATCCTTTTAGCGTCAACAGTTGTAACAATTTGTCCTATCTGTTTTTCTGTCTCACCATCTCTAAAATGGTTGCAGAACCACCTCAGAATAAGTTGCAGATACGACATTTTGCTTCTAAATATTTTAGAATACTGATCCTAAAAATAAGCTCTTCTACTTAACCATGATACCATTATCAAACCTAAGAAATTGACCAAAAAAATTTCCTAAAATTACCTAATAACCAGTCTTTATTGAACTTTACCCAGTTGTACCCAAAATGTCTTTACTTCCAACGTTGTGTTACAAAAATCTTCAAATATACAGCAAAGTTGAATTTCACAGTGAACATCAAGATTCTATTACTATTTCACTGTACTTTTCAATTGCATATCTTTCCTTCAGTCCATCCCTCTAGGATCCATTCATTAACCCAACTTATTGTTTGACATGTCAAAGTAAATTTCAGACACCGGTACCCTAACTAATTCAGCATGCATATCATACCTAGTACTAGAATTCCTTCTTCACCATTTTTTCTCTTCATGTAAATTTTACATCTGAAATGAATATATTCATTCACATTTGCTGAGTTTGACAGATGTGTACACCAGTGTGACCCATGCCTCTTTCAAGATACGGATCATGTCCACTACCCAGAGGGTTCTCTATGCCCCTTCCTGGTCAGTTCCGCCCTTCCCTCCAGAGGCAACCACTATGCAGATTTTTTTCCACCACTGTTCTTTTGGTCAGTTTTAGAACTTCATATAAGGGGAATCCTATGCTATGCACTCTTTTGTGGAAGAATTTTTTTCACTGGGTGCAATGTATTGAAGATTCATCTATGTGTTGCATGTGTCAGTTTGTTCCTTTTTAATACTGAGTATTCCAGAGCAGGAGTGTGCCAGTTTGTTTATCCAGTCTGCAATTGGTGGTACGTGATGGATTCAGGGTGTAAGAGAGCGGATGATTCTATCATTACAAAAATAAAAATACCTCTTAGCACTAATAAATGTGTAAAATTTTAGAAACTTGGTATGGACATATACCAACTATACAACATATTATTTTTCTAATGATTGCTTACTTTTACTTTTTTTAAAGAACCAGCTGCAGTTTAATAAGAATGTTCCTACACATTCAAGCAACTTGGCAATCCGGTATTCTTACCCACATGCAATTAAAATAGAAAAACTGAAGCACTCGCACACTGAGTCGGACCACTGTAAAGATTTGGATTTTGGAGATGGTCCTGATCTAAGCAGTTCTGTTTCATTTTCTGTTGTATCAGAAGAGAGACTTAGCTACGCTGTCCACCTTGCCAAAAGAGATATGAAACGAAGACACTTTGAAGAACATGTTAAAAAACATCATCTCACAAGTCAATCCCAAATCTCTCCGAAATGTGGATGCACCAAGCATAAAAAATCTGACCTTGGGGTGGAAAGGAAGGAAATGAATCAAGAAGCTTTTCATTGCAGCCACCAGCCATCCAAAGTAGAAATTTCCAGCTCAGGTGCCAAAGTATACGTATACACATCTCAGGCAGGACAGTCAGATTTGACCATGCCAAATTCACCACCCACCCATGACCCAGGACTGCGGCCTCATGGTAGGACAGGTGACCACAAAAGCCTATGTGAACACAGAAGACTGCTAGAAGTTCAGCGACTCCAGAAAATATTGAGCAATTGTATCCATAAAATCGAAGAAGTAACAAAAGGTGAGGAAAATTGGTGAGGGTGGAATAGTTCATACACGTTCATTCTTTTGGGACCCCCACCCCCATCAAACTCCACTCCCTCCTCCTGTCACTGGAGCAAGCACTCATGACCAGACAGGTGGACTTTGAGTTTGACCAGTGTCTTTTTTCTGAAGAGTTTTTCCTGCCCTCGCCCCTCCCTCCAGCAGAGGCAGGTGACATAGCTCCTTTCCTGAAGCTGCACTTGGTCATCGACTGACCAAGGGCCCAGCCTAGGGGTTAGGGTACCTGTTGTCAGAACCTGTGCATGCCCCCAGCGGGACCGCGGTACACGGGAGCAAAGAATTTTCAGTAACCACCAGAGGCTCACCCCAATGACAGTGATTGGCACCCCGCCTTGGTCTGGCGCCCCCGCTCACCAGTGCCACCATTCCACCACGGCCGATGCCCGCCATGTTCTGTGCACGCCCCCCGGTGGTCAGTGCACATCATAGCAACTGCTTGTTTGGTTGTTCAGTTCTGCCATTCGGTCTATTTGCATATTAGGGATACACACACACACACACACACACACACACACACACACAAGAGGCTCGGTGCATAAAAATTTGTGCACTCGGGGGGGCTGGGGGGGTGTCCCTCAGCCCGGCCTGTGCCCTCTCGCAGTCTAGTACCCCTCAGGGGATGACCACCTGCTGACTTAGGCCCACTCCCTGGGGGATTGGGCCTAAGATGGCAATCAGACATCCCTCTGGCGGCCCGGCAGCCCTCGGGGGATGTCCACTTGCCAGCAGGGAGCAGGCTTAAACTGCAGTCGGACATCCTTAGCGCTGCTGAGGAGGCGGGAGAGGCTCCCACCACCACCGCTCTTCTGGCAGCCATCAGCCTGGCTTGTGGCTGAGCAGAGCTCCTCGCATGTGAGACCTGCATTGAGTGTCTGCCCCTTGGTGGTCAGTGTGTGTCATAGTGACCAGTCATTCCCAGTCCTTCTGCTGTTAGGGTCAGTTTGCATATTACCCTTTTACTATATAGGATAGAGGCCTGGTGCACAGGTGGGGGCCGGCTGGTTTGCCCTGAAGGGTTTCCCGGATAAGGGTGGGGGTCCCGCTTGGGTGCCTGGCCAGGCTGGATGAGGGGATGATGGCTGTTTGCAGCTGGTCACACACCCTTCAGGGTGGGGGTCCCCACTGGGGTGCCTGGCCAGTCTGGGTGAGGGGCTGAGGGCCATTTTCAGGCTGGCGGGTGACTGAGCTCCCAACCTCTCCTTTTTTTCTTTTTTTCTTTTTTATTCTGGGATTTATTTACCTTCTATGGCTGTCACTGGAACTGAGAGCCGGCTTTAGCTCTGAGGCTCAGCTCCAGCTCTGAGACCTCAGCTGCTGAAAGCAGGTATCTGGGTTTGTTTGGCTTCTATAATTGAAACACTGTTGCAACTCCAGCTCTGAGGCCCGGCTGGCTGAAAGCAGGTTTCTGGGGTTTGTTTAGCTTCTATAATTGCAACATTGTTTTTTAGAATGCAGCTC